CATCCGGTAGGAGCAACAGGTGAACATCGAAGGGAACATCCCTACCTGTTGCACCCCCCTCCCCCTCCTCCCTCCCACCTCTTCCCCTTCCCCTCCCTCCCCCCCCTCCTCCCCTTCTCCCTCCCTCCCCCTCCTCCCTTCTACCTCCCTCCCTCCCCTTCCCACCTCCCTTCTCCCTCCTCCTCCCCTTCCCTCCCTCCCCCTCCCCCCACCTCCCTTTCTCCCTCCTCCTCCCCTTCTTCCTCCCCTTCCCCTACCCCCTCCTCTTCCCCTTCCCCCTCCCTCCCTCCCCCTCCCTCCTCTTCCCCTCCCCCTCCCTCCCTCCCTCCCTCCCTCTTCCCCTTCCCCCTCCCTCCCTCCCATCCCTCCCTCCTCCTCCCCTCCTCCCCTTCGCTCTCTCCTTCCTTTCCTTCTTTCCCACACTCTCTTGCAGGTCGATCTGCTTCCGCTGCTTGACTTAATAATAGTTATCGTTTTATTATCATTATCTGTATTGTTAATAAAGTTACAAGCTATTTCTATTTCGTCTATTTTTGGTTATTTTTGTTATTTTTTAAGTTATTCTATTTCGTCTATTTTTTGTTACTTTTTTAAGTTATTCGATTTTGTCTGTTTTTGTTATTTTGTAAGTTATTCGATTTTGTCTATTTTTGGTTATAATTGTTATTTTTTTGTGATTTGTTATTTCCAGTGTTCGTCACATCTTATTTCGAATTAATGATCTTACTTCTTGCAATATTTATTTTTTCCTTTTGCTCTTGCTTGTCTGTCATAAATATACATCTGTATATCTATTAAGATACTTCATCTTTTCTGATATACCATTCCTTTCCTATGTATCTTTCTATCACATAACCATATATGTATCCTTTATTAATCTATCTCCGTCTGTTTCTGTCTGGTTGTCTGTCTGTCTCTTTCTCTCTCTTTCTCTCCGCCTTCCCCCTCTCTCTTTCTCCTTTTCTCTCCTTCCATCTCTCCCTCTCCCTTTTATCCCTTTTCTTTCTTTCTCTCATTCTCTCTCTCTCTCTCTCTCTCTCTTCTCTCTCTCTCTCTCTCTCTCTCTCTCTCTCTCTCTCTCTCTCTCTCTCTCTCTCTCTCTCTCTCTCTCTCTCTCTCTCTCTCTCTCTCTCTCTCTCTCTCTCTCTCTCTCTCTCTCTCTCTCTCTTCTCTCTCTCTCTCTCTCTCTCTCTTCCTCTCTCTCTTTCTTCTTCTCACCTTCCCTCACCCCCATCTTTTTTCTTTTTTAATCCTTTCTCCCTCTCCTTCTTTTCATCTTATCTCTCTCTCCCTTTCTCTCTCAATCTATGCTTACACTAACAGAAAACACGAACATGTACGAAGCCGAAGCCAAGCCCAGCCAGCCACATATTTGAAGGTAAGCGTCTATATATATTTATAACATAGTGACCCTCTCCCCCCCCCTCTCCCTCTCTCCCTTCATTCCAGCACGCAATGCATATTCGCGAGAGAAAAGCACCTTCGACTGTAAAAATAAACACTGCAAACATCGAGCATTGTTTCGCCCCCCCACCCCCTCCCTCTCACCCCACCCCAACCCCTCTCTCTCACCCCACCCCTCCCCACTCCCCTCTCTCTCACCCACCTCAATCCCTCCCCACTCCCCTCTCTCACCCATCACCCCCAACCCTCCCCCTCTCTCTCTCACCCACCCCAACCCTCCCTCCTCCTCTTTCTCTCCAGGTTGTTTACTTCGCCTTCTCCACTCACCCTTTTTCTTTACTTTTTT